TTTACTTTCAAGGAACACTTGAGTGGTTGTGTTTTACAAGTGCAAATACTTGTGAAAATCTAATTTTAAGCTTCAATGGTCACTGCAAGCCAGTTTCAAAGCCAGTCAGGGAACAGAATCATGCGACTTACTTATGTAACTAACTGACACATCACAAACTGGGACTATTCACAAAGGCTTGGCAGACAAAGAAAGAAGTACTCACTGGAGAAATGATCAAATCATTTCAACATACAAATATTAAGAAGAATTTTACAGCTGGGTCAAGAACAAGAAAAAGAGGAAAGTTTAATCAGTGATATATTAGTCTAATTTCCTGGAGTCTCAATCTTCAGGCCCTGAGCCTGCGGAGAGTTAATCATGTGATTTTCTGCAGCCTGAGGAGTTGTTTAGAGTTTGAAATTACTCTGAGAACAGAGTTAAGCAGGGACACAAATCTTTGCAGAATCCAGGCCTCAGTCAATTCTTGGAGACTAATCCCTTTCAGTCTTTAAAGAGCTCTGCCAGTGCAAAACACCTGGGAAACCTCCTCTTCAGCCGTGCATGACCCAGGCAGGACGCCAGTATCAATTCTCATTAACAACAGAGGTTAGAAGGATACATCAACAAGCTCTTTGCCAGAGCAATCAATGCAGCTGACAGCACTCTGGGGGGCTGTGCCCTTCCTGCTGTGGCACTGAACATCTACCAGCAGGAAGTGATGGGGCCACACAGTGCGAGGTCCATCTGCCCCTCTCTTCGCCCCCCTCGTTAGCCACAGGCTTTCAAACTGCATTTGCTGCACAAAGTAAATGCCTCGTTTCACCTCCAGTCAAGCAGTACTGCTCCTGGTGCTTCAAGAGTTGGGGTCTTATGTTCTCATCCTGTCTCTCTGCCACCTAGACAAGCTTAGACCATGCTTTCCAAATCCCCTGTATAGCCACTAATCCTGTAAACACCTCTTCAGTCATTGTGACTGGATGGACAGAGATTTCTCTCCCTGCTCTCTTGCTTCCTCACTGCACAGGGAGAATACTGAATGGGTCTGTCCTGGTACCAGAATGCTGCTAGATCCCTCTGAAGCATTTCATGAACTCAGTGAGGCATGGGCTTCTCAAGGACATGCTGTCAGCTGGGTAGAAGGGAATTAGTGAATGCACGACTGACTTGAAAAAAGGCTCCTATTTGCTTCCGTCTTGTGTACGGATGCCGATCTGAACATATCATAAACCAAAAATATGCTTCTGCTTCTGTTCATACCTGGGTTTTATGAATTTCTGTTCCTTATCCTCCTCCTATAATAATCCCTTTACTTTCAGAGTCTCAGCTCAGTGCAGTATTCGTGACTTCCCTAAACAGTAGCATGCTGTGGCACAGCTCTCTCCAGATGGTGCACATTTCTGTGGAAAGTGAAGAAATGCCTTATTTATAAAGACAGGGGTTTCCAAGGGGTCTGCCAATTTCAGTAGGATGTGTATAATTTCCCAGGCTCTTTTGGGAAATTCTAGTTAAGGAGTGTTGGGCACAACAGGGTATTTTGCAATGGTAGAGGATGAAGAAAATTTGGGAGAGTAGCCAGCTCTCAGTTCTGATTGCCAGGGAAACAGGGGCAGCACTAGGATTTTCCAGTGTATGACTCTGCAGGTTTGCACTTTTTATATGGCACAGGGACTGATAGTTGTCTCAGGTCAGCAGAGTGGCAAAAACAGGAGAGGACAACGCTCGAGCTCTGCCCCAAAGGGCCCTCTATTCCAGTAGCTGTATGCCACTTTCTGACCTTATGTTGACCTTTTGCAGCTAGCTACATGTGGAAGTGAATTTCTCCTAGGGGAAGAAGCATATGAGGTTCTTTATGCTGATTCAGAAAGCAGAGCTGAAAGGAGCAGCTTCCCCCCTCGACCATCACTTCAAGAAAGGTTTCCCACAGCAGCACTGATGTGTCGGTTTCTGCCTGGCTTCTGCCAAGCTTCTGGGTTTGCTTCCATGCTGAAATGGAAAAGGGCTCCATGCCAAAAAGGCTGTCTGCATTGAAATGCCCCAGACAAGTGGTCTGACTCAGGGTCTAAGTGTTGTTCCTTGGAAACTCTGGCAACATCACAAAAATAGCTCAGACATAGCTCTGATGGAGCTGTGGAAAGAGAGCACTGCCTTGGGCTTGCAGGATTAGGAGTTGTGTTGGCCAAATTTATTCTTCGCAATGCCACTGACTCACTGTGATCTTGAGCAGGTTGACTTTACCTCCCTATGCCTCAGTTCTCTCATTTGTAAAATTCCCTACCCTAACATTGACTTTCAGCGCTACTTTGGGCAAATCACTTCAATCTTTGTCTTCAAAGGTGCTCAACCGTTTATTGCATTGATATCAACAGCAAGTGGGCAGCTGGATAGCTCTGTGAAGCTCTGGGCTGTGATTATTCTGTAAACTGGGGAGAATAACACTGTCTTATGCTGCTGTTACATGAAAAATGAACACAATCCATTCTCATGCTGACAGCAGCAACACAGTGTGAGAAAGGTGGAAGAACTTTGGGAAGTTCTCTGACATGGAGACAGAGTCTGGAAGGGCATCAACAAGACACTTGCTCCTTCAGGTACACTCGAGGGAAGAGCAAAGGGAGAGCAACACACAACCATTCCAGGCACGATCCAAATAGCAGAACAGCGGCTGGTGCACAGATCACAGCGCTGAGCGCCTACGATGCAGCCAGCAATCAAACCAGAGCCTGCTCTTTGATCTGGAACTCCTCTACCACACCTCCAGCTTCCCTGCCCTTTCTCCTGGGGATCTGGCCTGACTGCTGATTGCTGGCAGAGGTGCTATTTCAGGCAATCGCAAGGCCAACATGCCTCTCTAGCAGCTGTACAGATGACATTTGTCTAAGTAAATAGTCCCTGCAGTGATTCTCTGCAGTGATCCATTGACTGGTGGAAACTCTCCCAAGGAAATCAATCTGACTGGGGCTGTCTGTCTATCACCCCCTTTCCTACCCAATCTCCTGAGACCTGTTGCTATGTTTTAGGGGTTTACAGGCTGACAACGAAAGGACCTAACAATTTATAAACACACAGTCCATCTTATTATCTCCAGGAGGTCAGCTGAAACTCAGACCTCAAGTTTCTCACTTGATCTACGTTTGTGCTTTTCTCTTCCATTGGGACTATTGCTCCCACAGTCCTCACTGTAGTAGAAGAGGACATACCTGAGATATAGCTTCAAACTCACTCACTCAGGTACTGGTGTCAACCCAGCTGTGGAGCTCACTGTAAGTTAAGCATCCACGGATTCACCTAATTTCATAGTGGTTTTGGGAAGCTCCGCTAAGTTCTGCATGACTACTGAAAAGCACTCTCTGCTACATTTTCTATGAATTTTAGCCACATGTGCAGCTGCAGACAGAGTAAAGGGCAAAGAGCATAGGACGCCACTTGTATGCACAGTCACTGAGAGCATAAGGCTAGGAGGGCTGAGCAGCAGTGACTGTCTAATCTCAGAGAATTTGAGATAACAAAGTCAAGCTGGCCCTTCCCTGGTTGTGCCTGACATTACATTTTCTAGCAGTTTGTTCAGTTTAATTTGAATAACCCAAGTGATGGGACTGTTGCCACTTACACTAGGGCCTCATTAGTGTGGGCTTTGCCAAACTGTACATATTTAGCTCATAACCTTTTCCTCAGAGGTTAGACTTTCTGATTGGCAGCAGGTAATGAGATGCACAGAATACAATGTTCCTGGCATGAAAAGCCCTAGAGGCACTGCACCCCTTGCTGGGATGCTAGCTTCCTCCCTCCCCCCTCCCCCCCACCCCATTATCCTGTTTGTCTTCTACGTTGTGCTCAGACCTGCACTGACCTTTTCGATTCTGAAAAGCAATGAAAATGAGTGCAGCTTTAAGAGATGTATAATAAGAAACTAAAGAAGTTGGACTGGGACTCTGAAATGCTCAGTCCTCAGCTCTGCAAAGACTTCTTGTATGACCTTGTGCAAGTCAGTTAATCTCAGCTAAGCATCTCTAGCTGTGCTGGGGAATTGTACCCCGGTCTTCTCTAGCTAGACAATGAGGTTCGCAGCACAGGTGATGTCTCCTGCATGGCAGGACGGCATCCTGGCATGGGTCACTACGAGGTACTACATTTCAGAAATACTCTTTAGTTAGTAGTGTTTACTTTGGGGTGTGGATGTTTTATTACTTGTTCCATGTTCTATCAAGTGCCTATTTCTATTGAATATGTTTATAGTTGGACTCTAATGGACAACTGGACAGGTGCTTTGCACTTGTGTGCACTTGATGGCTTTGCACAAGAGTCTCTTTCGGATCAGAAAGCATCCCAAGCTTTCCCTTCCCTACAGCACTTTCTACTTCTCCAGTTATTTTTCAGCTATGATTAGAGAAATAGTGATCCAAGAAAAAGCCACTACGGTACCAATGTACCCGGGAAAAAGATTGCTCCCCATCTATGTGGTGGTCAGTTTCTGTCTTAAAAAAATTAATACTACTGACCCATGCAGTTATACCATAGCTGGCATCCCTGCAAAACCCAGGCCACGCTCTAACAAACAGCCAACCCCTCATGCTGAGGCATGATTTCTGCCATAAAACATTTCACTGAAATCCTAGGGCTGGCTTGCAGGCTTGGTGGTCAGAGCCTGGCCTGTTTTCTCTTGAGCCTTGGAGGCTGTGGGTGTTTGCACATTCTGAACTAAAATTCAAAAGCTAGTGAATTCACCAAGCATGACCCTGACAGCTCAGACTGCAGGTTCTTTAAAAAGACCTCTTGGAAATGGAAACAAAGGGATGCAGGAGCAGGTTGAGGTGCGTATTTGCAAAAAATAAAGAGAGAGAAGGATGTGGATTTAGCTGCTTGTGAATGGGGCTCCTAGAAGGAGCTGAAGTCAGGAAAGGAGAGACAGACTAGGATCTCCTTCAGGTCACAACTCCAGCTGAGGAAGAAAGGATCAAGTCTGGGGACAGAGTGCCAGGGCAGCAGGCAGTCGGAAGGGGATCATCACACTTTCTTCTTACCAATTCTGTCCAGCCTGTCCAGTGCCACAGTTTCAAAAGCTCGCCGCATCATGGGATACTCTTCCAGCACCTCATTGAAGTTGTCCACTGAGAGGGAGTAGAGCCGGCAGTAGGTATCAGCTCGCACACTGGCTGTGCGCCGGCCACGGGTCAGCAGGCAAATCTCTGGAATGAAAGACTCAGCTTGAGAAGGTGGGGGCAGACACCATCACCCCTGTAATACAAGACCTGCAACTGTCACTCACAGGCAGTCCTGTCTGCCACCCAGCTTCCTCTCTAGCTGAAGCCTACCTTCTTTCCCACTGAAAACATGAATGGTGAAAATGTTCTCCATATGCAATAACATCAGAAAAAAACATACTGGGGGCTCAGTTGTGGCAGCTGCTACATACAATTGCACCTCAAGGAATTTGCTGATCTAATTAGCCAGTCCAGTTCTGTTATGGTGGATTATCAAAGATATCATTTGTGCATTCGGAGTGGAGAGGCTGTCTTCCTCCAGCACCTCATGGGCACAAGGAGGAGAAGGTCACGCTGTGCCCTCACTAAAGCTAACTCTCTCTAGATTTTCAGCAGAGACTCTGGGCTGACCTATGGCCTTGATGCCTGGGTAGTAATTGTGATCTCCACACTGCGATCATTTGTCTTGCAAAGACACTTGGAAATTATTTGTAGATGTGCTATAAGCTTAGAGATTGTCAGGATAAGCCAAGTTTGTGGCACCCATTTATTACTAACCCTTGGTGTATTTACACTGCAGGCAGCCGCTCCTAGGAGGGCACTCAGCTGCTAACAGAACAGAGAGCCCTTGACTCCACCATACAAGCCTCATTTGGGCACAGACACTCCTTAAACACCCAGTGCAGAGCTCCTGAGTCCTGCTTTGCCACTGATTACACACAGAGTTTGGGCACCTAAGGCAGGCACCTAAAGACAGATGGTGTGACCTAAAGACAGAAGGCCCCTTTACTGGCAGCATCCTTCTCCATGCTGTGTGTTGGGTGTCAGTCTACCGGTGCCACTCTCAGGACTCATTCTGGGTCTGCCCCAAAGCACTAGTATAGCAGCACTACAAGGCTGCAATGCTGACAGTGCATTTTTAGGTGGCTTTCCTAGGGAAATGATGCTGTCTTTGAGTGCATGTGAGCAGGTGTGTGTGTGGCATCAAAAATGCATTGAATCTACTGGGCAGTTTTAGCCGAAGTAGTCAGAGTCAGGGTGTCCTGACTCCAACTCTCGAATTCCAAATCCCGGTGAACTGACCCCACTTGCTAGGGACTTGCAAAATCCCTGCACCCCAGAGCCAGCACGTAGGTGCAAACAGGTTGTTTACAGGAGCTAAGATTGTAAGAAGATTGTACGAAATGCATGACAGGGATTTTTTGAATGGAACAGGTCTTACAGAGGGAAGGAAAGGCAGGTTGTATTCTGTCTTTCTCAGTAGGCTGTGAATTGTGGTGCATTCAGTGTTTTACTGAAAAGTACACCTACAAGAAAACTGTCTGTCTTGGGGTGTCAGTGAGACCTCTGCAGGGCTCTAATAGCAGGGGTGGCACTGTATTACTGGTAGGAGCAATATCCTAAATCTTCTCTTATGGTGTTTTCTGCCCTCTTGCTAGTCTCACTGTTCCAGGCCTCTGCTGCTGATACATTATGTCTGCCTGCTGACCCTCATGACATTTTGCTGAGCCACAGGCTGGGGAGATGATGGACTATGCTTTTTCTCTGTGTTTATACAGTACCTCATATGATAGATGCCAGTCAGTAGGACTAGGCAACACTATAAATGTACTTGGAGAATTGAGAATGCTCCATTTTTTTCCTTTAGGCTCTCAGCTTCACAGATCTACCAATTTGCTTGGGGCAAAGAAGAAATGAACCTCCCAGAACTAAATTTTCCTTCTCAGTTTTATTATTATTTATTATCTAGACTCGCGCACTGCCCGAGACTTGCTGTCACTCCCCTTTGTGCAACCTGCTGTAAGGGAAGCAGCAAGACAGGTGAGATGAACAGAGACAGAGGGTGGAGGAAAAGGTGATGGAGATATCAGTTCCATGGACTGCCATCCCTGCGTGTCCAGGGCAAGTTAAAGAACATATGAGCAATAGGTGTAGGTCTCACTACGTAGGGGTGACTCGCTAACACGCACCTCCGAAATAGGAGCCATCTGCCAGCTTGGTCTCCTTGTTGCCTTTGGTGAGGACGCTCACCACCCCGTGCTGGATGAAGTACATCTTCTTGCCAATGGTGCCCTCCCGAATGATGTAATCCCCTGGCTGGAACACCTCAAACCGCAACTTGGTCAGCATGGATGTCACAAAGTTGGGATCTGCGTTGGCAAAGAGGGGCATGGAGGCAACCAGCTTCCGGCAGTTGAAGTTTATGATTTCCTGACCACAAAGTGAGTGTGGGAGAGACAGAGAGACAGAGAAAGAGAGAGAGAGAAGAGTGGAGAGAAGGAGAGAGGCAGGGAGAGGAGGTGGGACAGGGAGCAGAAAAGACACACACGTGTTCAGTCAACATTTAAAACTGTGAAGATCCACCACCTGACCTCTATATCAGAAAATGAAGAAAAAAGATGCTATGCTAGTGTGGTTCCTCCAGTGCAGTCTGGAATAGGCCTCTGAATGCTCACAGCACATAGCAATGCTAACTGAAGCTGACAGCTTGACACCTCAAGCTTTTCGCTTTCATACTTGACGCTCTCTCTGTGAGCAGGTACAATACCATGACACCCTCTCCACCCCCCAAATACACACAGCATACCTCTTTCCACAGTAAAGTGTGAGGAGTGCACAGCACTGGTGAAATGGTGTATGAAAAAGTCCAGGGCTCCTCTCTGGGAAAACGTTATAGCTCACCTTGGCAGCCCTATGCTCTGTGTTGCCCTTGCTTGACAATGCGATGCTAAACAGCACAAATGCGCCAAGGTACTCAGAGAAAGAGTTATCCTGGGCACCTGGGGACAGTGTCTGGAGAGGGGAGGGGAAGGTGCCCACTAGTCACTGGGGCATGGGCTGGATCATCAGCCTCAGATGAAAAAAACCCAGTTCAGCTGCTCAGCTGTCATAAAGCAGACAGGGACTGTGCCTGCTCCTGCGGCTTGGTGTCACTCGCAGGGTATGACCGCACTTTCCATTGCACAAGAGCTGTTCTGTGCCATGTCAGCTCAGGCTCAGAAAGCAGCACAAAGTGATATTGAGCAAAACACCTCAGCACAACACTCCCCAGCCAAAAAGTAAAGGAGGAACTGAATGACCGCAGCAGGAAGAGGGAGGGCAGGGGAAGCATCTGTCTCCTTCTCCTCACTGGGACTTCTCTTTCAGGGCTGCCTGAAATATAGCTGGTAGATCCTCAACTCCTCTCTGCCACAGAGATATGTGACTGGGAGGAAAGGGAGAAGGAAGACTACTTCTAACGCCTGTGGGTCATGTATTGGAGGTATGTACTAGTGAAAAGCTACATTCCTAAGCTGCAGCTGGGTAAGGTGGTGTTCTGAAGTGACTCCTTTGAGTGTGGGCCCTGCTCGGAGGCTCCTCCTTTCCTTTGACTCTATATGCTGGCAGCATATGATGGATGGGGCACAGATCAGGCCAGCACACTGCCTCTGCCATAGGGGGTCCTGGAGTAGTAGAGATGCTATAGAGGTGTGTATAAATACATGAGATACAGCTTAGGATCAAGGAGCTGGAGGTGGGAGCATAGTCAATGCACAGTCTGAGATGCAACCAGGCAGAGTGGGGAGGGTGTGGGGGGGAAAGGGGCTTGCAGATGAAAATAGCAAGGCACTTTCCAGAGTGCTCTCCTGCAGCAGCACTTTTAAAATGGGGATAAGGTCTTTGCTATTGCTCCAGAACACACACACAGTGCAAACATATGTATGACCAACTGCTGGGCACGAGATCAGAAACCCCAATATGCTCCTTTGTCCAGTAAAAGCCAGGTTGGTACAGCAACATCTTTGAACAGAGCTGGCATCCAGGGGAAGGCAAAACCGTTGAAACCTCCAAACAACAAAACTGCTGGATTCTTGCCATTTTGTCACATGGGATCTTTTCCCCCTCTTCTT